ATAGAGAGAGAGAGAGAGAGAGAGAGAGAGAGAGAGAGAGTTACTATGCTTAAATGAAATGTCAGAGCACGTGCACCAGTGGATGCTGATTTCCTCACCCTCCTTTTTTTGACTGGAGAAACAGATCTCTTGGCATAAAACAATAAGGGTGTTTTCTCTTTATTCCTCTTTCCCCTTTTAGTCTTGACTTTTACAAAGATATGGTAATAGTATGTCAGAGTTGAAATGAATCTTAAAGAAAAAAAAAACAATGTATCATAGCAGAAGACTCAGAGATCATCCAGTCCAGCTCCCTCACATTTTAGGTCCAAAAATAAGGAGACTTCACAGTCTCAGGCAAGGTAATACCAGGATCACAATGGCAGGATGGGGATGGGCAGGTCGTCAGTCCTCATCCAGGTCCTCAATTCTAGGTCAGAGGTCTTCCTAGCTCTAAAATGAAACGCACGGGTGAGTCTCAACATTGGTACTTGCTTTGTGCTCTGTGACACACTAAGTCTCAGCTCTCTCAAAAAATATACAGGATTATTGTAAGGAATGAATGAGATGATATACGTAAAACCCTCAGTTCAAACTGTGAGGGAGTTCGGGAAAGGGTAGCTATTAAACTTTGATTTTCACAGTTTAACAGACTAATAAATTGAAGGAGCTGATAGCAGAAGAAAGAATTTGTGTTTATTAAATGCTTCCTATGAATAAAGTGCTGAGATGGAGACTCAAGCCTCTAAGTCAGCATCAGTGTTATTGTGTCCTGGCTAAAGAGACTGGGGCTTATCTGAACACAATACCTTGACTCAGATACCAGCTAAAGTCTAAAACTCCACACTACCACAGCTGCTAGAGATAGAATAAACTCAGGCTAGAAGAAGATCTCCTAATTACTCCATCAATGTAAACCACGCATTCTCGTCTTCAAAAAAGAAAAAAAACCAACAACAGTAACTAATCTGAATTAATCCCTAGAAATATCAGATACCAAAGGTTCTATAACCTTCCTGTTCATTGGGGTTTTTATTTCTCCCACAGAACAATTTCCAAAATGGGCAAAGAGCACAGTAGGTGGCTCTCTTTAATATTTCACGGACAAAGCAAGAGTGACTCACCAGATCCTACATCTGTGTCACCAGCAAAAGCCTCAGAAAGTTGAGCAACAAATGAAACTGTGTTATATTGGAGATAACCTTCATTTATTTATTTGTGCCTTCTCCTCTGACTTCCTTCAGCCACATTCTGCTTTTCTAACTTTGTCAGGTAAGATGATGCTGCCTACCTTTTAGCAAAGGCAAACATATGTTACCAAATGCCAACAGCAAGGAGCAAAACGTTTTTCCCAAAATTGCATTCGCAAGCTTGTATGCTTGCTGCAAAGCAGAGAAACCTGATGGCCTGTAGGGAGTCAATGGATAAATGGCCCCACTGCCTGGGCCAGAAACAGATCTGTTCATTTTCCTACATAAGCCTGCAGCCATCAGTTTCCATAGGGAGGATGGGAATTCCAGACCAGTGATCAGTGCTGCCAGCAAGCAGTGGTCTTTTCTGAAAATGCTGCCTCTTGCATACCGCTCTCTATATTCCTACCTTTACCCATAGAATTAACAAAAGAAGTGAAAAATGCTATGGTTACTCATGACATTGGCGTCTCAATCTTTTTTACTACCCTATGAATTAGTATGAGGATGGTAGAGGAAAGAAATTACTCAAAACAAGAAGAAAGACGTGACATGATTCTGAACTTTACATCTTCATAGTACCCTATCTCCTAGGAATTGAAGGTGTATTACATCAAACACAGGAGAATAGGAAGGCTGCCTTAGAGATTGTGGCTTTGAAACTTCCTCTCTGGAGAGTTAACCCTGCTAAACTCGACAGACCATGTTCAAGGATTGTTCGCTTAGCAAGGAAATATCCTCTTTGGGACAGAAAGGCTACCCTGCAATCACCAGCCAAATAAGGACAACCTAACAAATGAAGTAAATTGCTAAAGATTTCATGGAGGGACGACAGGGTGTGACAAGAAAAGCCTTTAACTAGAAATCAAAATGTGTGAACTGTATTCCCAAAGCTGAAGTTTAATAACCACGTGACCCTTGGCAACCTCGCACTTCTCTGAATCTCATTCAATTTCCTTCTCAAAATTGAGACCAGTTAAGAAGAGATATCATTTAATGAGCACCTACTCATTATTCCATTTGATTTAATCCTCACACAAACCCTTGGAGGTCAGCCTTTATTTTTCCATTCTAGAACTGGATAAAGTAGATGCTCTAAATGGTGAAAGAAATTGCTCAGTATTACCTAGCTACAAGGGAATTAGAACTGAAATTGGAATTTGACCACAAAACCTGGGCTGCTTCCACTATCAATATGCCTGCCATGGCCTTCCTTCTCTCAGGACTATTGCAAGCAATAAGGAAGATAATATATATGGAACACACTTTGGAAATGTTAAACACATGTATGATTTTGTAACAAATAATCTGGATAAGGAGGAAAGGTATAACTGAGTATCCTTTCTTTAAAGAACCATAACCAAAAGGAATTAGCTTACAATCTCCCTTCCATCTCCTTGTTCTGACCTTACTTTGAACATTTTTCTTTTCTCCACAAGTCCCCGGTCTCTCAGGCACGCGTTCAGATGTATCCTGGCCAGCTCATCACAATGCATGCACACGGAACAGGCTGATGGAAGCAAGTGATCCCATTCTCTGCAAATGCTTGGTGTGGGAGGTACCTATAAAGGGGCATCACCAAGCTCTTCCCTTCCTTCAGTATTTATTACACTCCCTCCCATGCACTCATCAATGCCACATGCAAATGCAAGGGACTGTGAAGCAGACAGCCAACTATAAATTCTGGATGCTCGATTCAGGGACTTATGACATAGCCAAGAAGTAACAGTAAATAATTATAGTGAGTCGATCAGAATAAAATCAATTGCCGTGAGCAGGGTGAGGATATATGAGGGATGCTATTTCATTTCAAAATGTAATAAAGGAAGATGAGTGTCAGCATGTGTGGGTGTTTAAATAAGGTAAGTTTTTGTCCAGAAGGGGGTCAATTTAGCAGCATCACTAAATAATCTAAAAGGAAGGCATAAGAATTTGTTGTTGTTTTCCTACAATAACAGGAAATATAAAGTTGCTTGTTTAAGACAGCAGGAA